TTTTCTTAGAAATATTGCGTCTTTTGTTATTTTAAATGATAATTGAAAATTTCTGCAACAGTGCATTGTAGGAGTTAAAGAAGAATTATAGTCTGAACAGCTGTTTGTATGTAAAATTTAATTAAGACGCTTTTAAAAACTGTAAGTCTGCTTCTAGTGTTAGAAGATGTTCCACCACTTTTGCTGCCCCTTTCAATGTATCAAGGTTGCTGACAGCAGCCAAGTAAGTAAAGCATAGTATGGAACAGGGAAGTTTTTTTTATGAAAATTGCCATCACTAGCGTCCCTGTAGAATGAAACATGCCTAATGGTGTGTTTGATACGGCCGTATGAGAATACAACAACTGGTATGGTATGCAGGATCCTGCTGGCAGAAGTTGGCAACCATATCCTGTGTAAACACATGTAACATTTGAGCAACAGATTATGATTAAGCGCTGAGGGTAGCGCGATACGCATGAACCTTTTTTCCCCCCACTGGCATTACAGTTTGGTGTTTTTAAGATGTTTTTCTATACAATAAAGTGAATATGTGGCTTAGTGCAGCCTCCTGGACTTTCCTTTGATATACAACAGGGGTCTCCAAACTTTCTAAACAAAGGGCCAGTTTACTGTTCTTCAGACTTTGGGTGGCCAGTCTATCAGTGTGTGAAAATGCCTGGGTGTCAAAGGGAGTAAACAATAACCCATCATTGGTATTGGCAGGAGGAATAGTGCTTTATCGTTGGTATTAGCGGAAGGAATAATGTACCGTCGTTGAAGTCAGTGGGAGGAATAGTGCCTCATTGGTGGCGTCAGTGGGAGCAACAGTGCCCCAAGGGTCAGATATAGGCAGGCAAAGGGCCGCATTCGGCCCCCGGGCCACACTGTGGCGACCACTGATCTACAACACAGGTGTGCTAACTGTACAGCACACACGCAGAAGGATTGTGGCGTTTGAGAGTGGTCCTTCCATTGTTAGGATGCAGAAGGTTTCTCAAGGAAGTCATCTGCTGTTCTTCCATTGCTAGCAGGGTGGATACAAATCTATATTGTATCTCATCAAGATTTTGTTTTTTTTTTTCGGATTTTTTAAATTGGATTTTTTTTATTCAAATCAGATTTTGTTTATTTTTATGAAATTTATTTTAATAAAATGCTTTTGGAGTGAAAATCTATCTAAAGATAGTTTTCTATTTAAGATTCATTAATAATTTAGTTTATTTAGCATGATATGGCTTAGTGGTTAGCACGTCTGCCTTGCAGTAAATGGGTCATGGGTTCGATTCCCGACCATGGCGCCTCCTGCATGGAGTTTGCATGTTCTCCCTGTGCTTGCATGGGTTTCCTCCGGGTGCTCTGGTTTCCTCCCACACTCCAAAGACATGCTGGTAGGTTAATTGGATCCTGTCTAAATTGGCCCTAGTATGTGTATGTATGAATGTGAGTTAGGGACCTTAGATTGTACACCCCGTGAGGGTTAGGGACTGATGTGAATGTACAATATATATTTATGTGTAAAGTGCTGCGTAAATTGACAGCGCTATATAAGTACCTGAAATAAATAAATTAATAAATATGGAGCTTAGTTATGTAGCAAGAGACTGTATATTCGGCAATATTTATATTTTTTGGTAAACTCATTCAATGAATCCAAGTTCTGCAAGCTGAGATAACATGCACTGCATTGAGGCATTTATACAATTTCACAGTAGCCATGAGAAAAAACAAAGTCCGGGAATATTCCTTTATCCCGTTATTTTACAAATCTATGTACACTACAAATTGTACAATTGTTTGAAGAGAAATGCATCTGTACCAGGCTCTAAGTGTGGGGAGGAAGGGCAAGCAGTAAAAATGAAAGTGAAACCTTCCAAGCAGCTTATAAACCTTGTGATCTTTCTGCACATAGCTTGAAGTGCTTTATTCCTCCCTTGAGGAGCAAAATGGCAGCAGGAGCAGGCCGTAAAAGAAACCCAGTTTGGGAATATTTTAATGACGTTCCTTTACCTATGGGTAAAGTAGGTATGTATGCAAAATGCAAGTAATGCAAGAGATGCAAGGCCTGGTGGCCCGAATGAAACAACATCATGAGAAGTGCTGTGATGAAAGGACCATGTTTGGGGAGGCAGGACCTTCAGGTTGGTAAACTGTTTTTGTTTCACCATATTTTCAGACTGCCTTGAGGTTATTGTTATGCTAAAGCAATAATATATATCTGCTATTGTTACTGCATGGCACTGCATTTTTATACAGTTGCCAAAAAAAGAAATAATGAGTTTAAATATGCAAATATTCCCTTTTAGGCTGTACTTTGTGTGAATACAATGAGAAATTCACAAAAAGCATACATGTTTACCACTTGCCCTCCTGAAGATTTACCCCCCTTCCTGACCAGGCCATTTTTTGCTGTTTGGCACTGCGCTATTTCAACTGGTAATTGCACGGTCGTGCAGTGCTGTACCCTAACTAAATTAATGTCAAATAGCGCTGTTTTTTGATGGTATTTGATCATCTCTGCGATTTTTTACTTTCTGCGCTATAAAAAAAAAAGACCGAAAATGTAGAAACAAAAATGATATTTTTCACTTTTGGTTATACAAAATATCCAATAAACTCAAAGTTAGTAATGCATTTAGGCCAAAATGTATTCTGCTACATGTCTGGTAAAAAAAAAACAATACATGTACAGTCAGGTCCATGAATATTGGGACATCGACACAATTCTAACATTTTTGGCTCTATACACCACCACAATGGATTTGAAATGAAACGAACAAGATGTGCTTTAACTGTAGACTGTCAGCTTTAATTTGAGGGTATTTACATCCAAATCAGGTGAACGGTGTAGGAATTACAACAGTTTGCATATGTGCCTCCCACTTATTAAGGAACCAAAAGTAATGGGACAGAATAATAATCATAAATCAAACTTTCACTTTTTAATACTTGGTTGCAAATCCTTTGCAGTCAATTACAGCCTGAAGTCTGGAATGCATAGACATCACCAGACGCTGGGTTTCATCCCTGGTGATACTCTGCCAGGCCTCTACTGCAACTGTCTTCAGTTCCTGCTTGTTCTTGGGGCATTTTCCCTTCAGTTTTGTCTTCAGCAAGTGAAATGCATGCTCAATCGGGTTCAGGTCAGGTGATTGACTTGGCCATTGCATACCATTCCACTTCTTTCCCTTAAAAAACTCTTTGGTTGCTTTTGCAGTATGCTTTGGGTCATTGTCCATCTGCACTGTGAAGCGGCGTCCAATGAGTTCTGAAGCATTTGGCTGAATATGAGCAGATAATATTGCCCGAAACACTTCAGAATTCATCCTGCTGCTTTTGTCAGCAGTCACATCATCAATAAATACAAGGGAACCAGTTCCATTGGCAGCCATACATGCCCACGCCATGACACTACCACCACCATGCTTCACTGATGAGGTGGTATGCTTAGGATCATGAGCAGTTCCTTTCCTTCTCCATACTCTCTCTTCCCATCACTCTGGTACATGTTGATCTTGGTCTCATCTGTCCATAGGATGTTGTTCCAGAACTGTGAAGGCTTTTTTTAGATGTTGTTTGGCAAACTCTAATCTGGCCTTCCTGTTTTTGAGGCTCACCAATGGTTTACATCTTGTGGTGAACCTTCTGTATTCACTCTGGTGAAGTCTTCTCTTGATTATTGACTTTGACACACATACACCTACCTCCTGGAGAGTGTTCTTGATCTGGCCAACTGTTGTGAAGGGTGTGTCTTCTTCACCAGGGAAAGAATTCTTCGGTCATCCACCACAGTTGTTTTCCGTGGTCTTCCGGGTCTTTTGGTGTTGCTGAGCTCACCGGTGCGTTCCTTATTTTTAAGAATGTTTCCAAACAGTTGTTTTGGCCACGCCTAATGTTTTTGCTATCTCTCTGATGGGTTTGTTTTGTTTTTTCAGCCTAATGATGGCTTGCTTTACTGATAGTGACAGCTCTTTGGATCTCATCTTGAGAGCTGACAGCAACAGATTCCAAATGCAAATAGCACACTTGAAATGAACTCTGGACCTTTTATCTGCTCATTGTAATTGGGATAATGAGGAAATAACACACACCTGGCCATGGAACGGCTGAGAAGCCAATTGTCCCATTACTTTTGGTCCCTTAATAAGTGGGAGGCACATATGCAAACTGTTGTAATTCCTACACCGTTCACCTGATTTGGATGTAAATACCCTCAAATTAAAGCTGACAGTCTGCAGTTAAAGCACATCTTGTTCGTTTCATTTCAAAATCCATTGTGGTGGTGTATAGAGCCAAAAATGTTAGAATTGTGTCGATGTCCCAATATTTATGGACCTGACTGTATATTAATTGGTTTGTGTGAAAGTTATAGTGTTTACAAACTGTGGTGTATATATATTGGAATTTCCATAGCTTTTACTTTCTGACTGCCTATCACATTTCTTGAGGTGCTAAAATACCATAGCAAATCAAACAGCCCCCCCAAGTGACCCCTTTTGGAAAGTAGATCATATTCTAGACAAGCCTTTCTCAACCTTAGGTGCCTTGAGGTTTCTTCAGGGGTGCCTTGGCAAAATGTCTAAAAATTGCACAAAACGTGTATACAAGCCAGCGGGTGGAACAAGCTGTCCTTTTAGTCACAGGTTTTCATTGTGCACCATTACAACCTTCTAGCCACCAGCATCCTGACAACCAATGACATCAGTTGATGAGGATGTCAGTTGACTGCACAGCATCCTTGTTTGACCCTCCCCCGCCCCTCTCCATCAGTGCTGGGGTCATATTAGCTCAGTGATGGAGTAAAACTGAAGGAGAAGAGATACACCGAAATACTAGTAATGACCAGTGTGAAAAAGTATATTTGATTTGGAAGAATAAATTAGAATAGTTTTTTACATTTTAGGATGGGGTTCCTCAGGACTGTGAATAATTTTATTGGGTGACTCGGGACTGTCCATAATTTTAGAGGGTGCCTCGGGACTGTCCATAATTTTAGAGGGTGCCTCGGGACTGTCCATAATTTTAGAGGGTGCCTCGGGACTGTCCATAATTTTAGAGGGTGCCTCGGGACTGTCCATAATTTTAGAGGGTGCCTCGGGACTGTCCATAATTTTAGAGGGTGCCTCGGGACTGTCCATAATTTTAGAGGGTGCCTCGGGACTGTCCATAATTTTAGAGGGTGCCTCGGGACTGTCCATAATTTTAGAGGGTGCCTCGGGACTGTCCATAATTTTAGAGGGTGCCTCGGGACTGTCCATAATTTTAGAGGGTGCCTCGGAACTGTCCATAATTTTAAAGGGTGCCTTGGGAATGTCCATAATTTTACAGGGTGCCTCGAGACTGTCCATAATTTTAGAGGGTGCCTCGAGACTGTCCATAATTTTAGAGGGTGCCTCAGGACTGATCATAATTCTAAAAGGTACCTCAGCACTGTCCAGAATTTTAAAGGGTGCCATGACTGAAAGAGAAAGTGGAGAAACACTGCTCTAGACCTAGTACTGATAAATGGGGATAAAAAAACTAATTTTGCTGAAATGGATGAATTTCTAAAAAATGAGTTGAAAGTTTTGGAGTAAAAACGACAGGTGTAAGTAATCGGTGGGCACTGTTAAAGTCTACCATCCTGGAGGCAACTAGATTATATGTCAGGCAAGTTAGTAAGAATAAATGTGCTTGTATAACAACAGAAGAAGGGAATGCATTCCTTGCAGAAACAATTGATTCTTCAGGAAATGCACACACAGCAACATACTTAGAAGAAGTAGCAGCAAAAGTTATCATAACATGCGAAAAACAATTCAAATGTCATGTACGCAGTTTGGTCACAGACAATGCTGCAAATGTGTCCAAAATTAGAAGAAATTTAGAACAACATGAAGAAAATACCAAGCTAATAACATATGGTTGTAGCACTCATTTGATGCACCTCCTAGCAAAAGATTTCTGTGTCCCAGAAATAGAGAGTAATGTTGTTGAAATTGCTAAATACTTCTGTAACAATAATTTTGCAGCATCAGCTCTGAAAATAATGGGTGGAACCCAGCTAACCATCCCACAAGATGATAGATGGAACTCTGTAGTGGACTGTTTTGAACAATATATAAAAAAAACTGGCATATTCTGATGACCATTTGTGAGCAAAATCGAGAAAAAAATAGATGGCACTATCACAGCCAAATCCTCAACATTGGGCTTAAGAGAAATGTTGAACCCGTTTCTGAAGCTTTATCCACTTGCCCCCCCAGAGGATTTACCCCCCTTCCTGACCAGGCCATTTTTTGCGTTACGGCGCTGTGTTACTTTAACAATTGTGCGGTCATGCAACGCTACACCCAAATTAAATTTACATCCTTTTTTTCCCATGAATTGAGCTTTCTTTTGGTGGTATTTGATCGCCTTTGCGTTTTTATTTTTGTGCTGTGAAAAAACTTTATATTTCTGGCATTTTGCTATTAAACATGTCCAGTAAAAAAATCAAAAATCAAATTTTCATCACAAATTTAGGCCAAAATGTATTCTGCTAAAAAAAATCCCAATACGTGTAAATTAATTGGTTTATGTGAAAGTTATAGCGTTTATAAATGGCAGTATATACTGGGATTTTTTTTTTTTTTACTAGTAATGGCGGTGCTTAGCGACTTATAGTGGGACTGCGGCGGGCATTCTGACACTGGGGGAAACTGACATCCCCAGTGACACCAATACAGTGATCAGTGCTAATAAAAAGCACTGACACTGTACTAATGGCACTGGGCAGGAAGGGGTTAACATGTGGGGCGATCAAAGGGTTAACTGTGTGCTGTTTTACTAGGGGCTGTGTGTTAGTGCTTCACTGTAAGATATTTTGACAGGAAGAATGAATGAACTACTGCAGCGCTTCACAGTGCCGTGGTAGTTCATTGAGCACTACAAGCTGACAGCTGCTAAGGATGTTGGTATTTGTAGTCTATCATTCACAGATGACTGTGAATGAGTGATGCAGTCCTGGGGGTGGAGATCCGCACGGCCGCGGTTTTTATTTTAGTTTGACAGCTATCAAGGGGGGAAAAGATCCCCCGCTAGCTGTCAAAGTGGGGATTGGGGGGGAGCAGGGGCCGCCCTGAATATGGTGATTATGAAAAGGTGAACTTATCCTTTAATTACAGGCCATGGGATGCAGATTTTTAAATTTTTTAAATATATTTATTTATTGAACAAATCTAAGCCTAAGTTTACTGATCTTTCCACAGCTGTGGGCACAGAAAACTATACATCTGTAACAAAAAAAATAATTAAAGTTTACTCATAAAACGTTTGTGTTGCTTAGAACTGTATGATGTGTGACACTTAGGGGAGAGCTCTAGAAAATGTATCTGGAAAGGACAGCAATGGTAAGTGTAACTAACACAATATACTCCCAATGTTCTTTTCGCTATGTTTGCTGGAGCAAAGAATAATTGCAGGCATGGCTATATTATACACAGATAGTTGGTCCAGCCTGGACCAATGTAAATACCGTACCTGGCTGATGCCTCTAGAAACTGGAAATCACTTAAGTAGACTGCTACTTCAGTGATCTTCAGTTTTTTCTGGGTTCCACGCCAAGCGGCTGCACTCCTGCTTACAGAAGTCAGCTTAGCATGGATGCCATTGGAACGTAAAGCATTCTCTGATTAGAAGAGGCGAAGTGCTGACATCACCCTCTCCACCACATCAAATCAGAGAATGCTTTTTTGCATTCGTTCAAAGAATGCAAAGCATTCTCTGAATAGGGCCTGTACTGAACAGCCAACCTCTTGTGTTCAAAATGCATCAGGTAGGCTGCTCAGCACAGGACTTGGAAACCGTTATTCTTAAATCTGTAAACAAAAATTAGACTTTTTGTAACTAGTATCCTAAAAGTCAAGCGATTTAAAAGAAGTTGGAGAAGATAATATAAGATGGGGTAAAAGTAAGCTCCTACATTTCCCATTCAGAGCAAGGTAGTAGGTTTAGTAGACAGCCTGACACCTCTGTTTCTACTACTTTAATGATCCCATCCACTGCCCTACTCACTCATTAGGACCTCACAAACTTTAGGGTGATTGTGGGGAGCACTCGAGGACATGCAACTCTCTCCCCTTCTAATAATGCAGTGCTGGATTCCTGAATACCTCATTGTCAGGCCTGGATATTGGCATGTTAGGGTGGGCCCTTAACTCAGTGTAAGTTCTGATTCAAAGCCAAAGAGGAATTTGGGACAGGTGAACCAAGTGATGGAGGTAGGAAATGAAAGCCAAGTATCAGTAGCAGACACCCTAATTGGCAAAGTGCAGGTTCACTTTACTGTGCATTAGGGCCTATTCTTATTTATGCATGCTCTAACACATGTGATTTTGCTTGTTACCGCAGGTTGCATTAGGGAAGACTCATTTTGAATGGGCTGTCAGTACGCCTCAATACAAAAGGTAATGCCCCTGCACAGGATATACACTTCTGCGCATTTTGATGCGCTTTAGCACAGTTGCTATTTTCTACCATTCAAAAAGAATAGCAGCACATCTCCATGCACATATACCTGTTGCAATAATGCATAGTAAGATTTTAACTGTATGAATGCAGACTTAATTTTCGATAAGCAGAAAATGAGTTTTACTGATTTCAGTACTATAGGTTTGACTCCGCAGGGAGCCTGTCCGACCACTTGAGAGAGATCGCTGCTCTAATACACAGCAGTCTTTTTTTACAGCTCACTGCCAAAGATAGGAGTTTTCGGCCGTGCCTGAGGGAGGATTACAAAAATAACATGAAGTAATATACAGTACTTATACTATTTTAAACTCTTTAATTTGGTTTATTTAATTTATACTTGAACTCAAGTGAAGACTAGTTATGTTGTAGGAAACCTTTATAAATGTTAGTGTGCCTAAGCATTACCCCTCAAAAAACTACCATTTTGTCTTGATTTTGTCCTAACAAAAAATAGCACTATATTTCCTGGTATGAGTGTGTGTGGCACTCCTGGGCCTACAACTGTATATCTACAGTGTGAAATCTAGGACACTGCTGCCTCACCTTATTTGGGGTGCGTTTTAGTGATTTCACTAGTGTGCTGCTCATTCTTCTCCTTGCTGGAGGCTCTGACATGAGGATGCAAAACCCACCTACACCAAGATGTGGCTGCTTCCATACAGAGATGCAGTACAGAACAAGGCATTGTGTCTCATATCAGCTGCAGACCACAGACAATGGTGGTGACTGGTCCTTTGCCCTCTGCTTGCTTTTTTTAGCCCAGCTTCCAGAGTTCAGTTCCTCTTTAAATCACCTTACCCCATAGTAAAGTTACTCAAAAGGAAATTACACATAGTCCCAGCAATGCCGTGATCAGAGGAAGCACAAGCACCACTCATTGTTCCAGGTGAGAAGTTTTACCTGTGTACTGCCAGCCTGAGTCACTTTTAAAATATTTGATGTGATATTCAGGCTGCATAACAGTTCTTTTATTAACCAATTTTTTTTTCTTGTTTGCATTGAGCTTATAAATGTGTTTAACCTCAGTTACATGGCAGAGGTTTGCAAATATCAAGAAACAGAAATAAATGTATCTTCATAAATATTTATGTAGTGTGAGCCATTCTTTCAATATTGTGAGCAGTGTATGTGTCACCTAGGTTTCTCAACTACACTTGGTGAGAGGCTGCAGGCTTTGTGTCTCATAAGGGAAAAGTTTTTCTTTTTCTCAGATCCTGCAAAAAAAATGTGCAGTTATTATTTTTTGTTAAAAGGTTAAGCCTTTTTTGCTATTTTAGCAGCTTAGCTCATTTCCTCCTTGTCCTTGTGTGGTCTATGATCTCCAGAGTGTTCCTGCCTGTGTTCCTGTGTACAGCTTGGTCTGGCTGACTTCTCTTCCGATTCCTGTGCCTGAATTTTGCTCCTGACTATGCTGACCTCTGGTTTCCTGACCCCAGCTCATCTGATTACCCGACACTGGCTTCTGTTTTTGACTATGTTCCTGAATTGTGCTATTTTTGCTATTTCATTAACGGTGTGATTTTAACTGCACTTTCAGTCTCCGCCTGGTTTATGGCTCCTGACATTATGCAAGGGCCCTGAATTCAGAAGATGCAGGCAGTTGATCTAGTCGTAATATTTTTTCCAGATTGGACGAGCAGGACCACCACTTGTATCAGTTTGCCATGGCAGTACAAACTCTACTGATCTGAACTGCTCACCTGGATCCTCCTACCCCAGCTGCTCCAGTACAACCAGTGTCTCAAGCCATCCCTGCTGCTGCTCCTATCTCGGTTCAGGCAGCCGCCTCCGATACTACCACTGTAAGAGGTATGACTGGTTCTGCTTCGCTTCCCCAGCTGTTTGGGGTCGATCCAGCTCACTGCAGAGGGTTTCTCAACCTGGTTGGAATTTATTTTGAGATGCTGCCCCAGGATTTCCATAAAGACAGAAGCAAAGTAAGGATTTCCTATTTCTTTGCTTTCCGACAAATCCTTGGCTTGGGCAAACCCTATATAGGAGACACAAAAAAAATTGTTGTCCAGAATTACCCTGAGTTTGTGGCCTCCTGTAAAAGGGTATTTGATATTCCTGTTCATTCCACCTCTTCTGCCAAGAGCTTCATGTCCATTAAACAGAATATGGGAACTATTGCCGACTATGCTATCGAATTCCGTACTCTGGCAGCAGAGGTTGGTTGGAACAATGAGGCTCTCATGGCTGCTTTTTCCCATGGCCTCTCTGATAACATTAAAGATGTGATTGCAGCTCAAGATATACCTGAGATTCTAAGGAGTTGATCTTGCTTGCCATTCTTATTGATGCCATTCTTATTGATACCAGACTCTGAGAGACACTTTCCTTTAAAGGAGCGCTTGCGGAAACCTCCTGTATGTTTTGGCTCCGAACTTTGCATTTCCACCCACGGCTTTCTCACCTCTCATGCCTCCTGGGCCTAGTCCTCCAGTGAAGTAGAGCCCATGCAGCTGGGTTTCACTTGTCTCTCTGCCAAAGAGATGGCCTTTTGCAGAAGGTGCCTTTAGAAGATTGTTCCTTTACTGTGGCCAAGCAGGTCACTTATTGAAGTCTTGTCCAACCCACCCACACCTGAGGTCCTGTAGGGGACAGACGTTAGGTGGCGTCTTTGCATCCCCAGCTATCCTTAAAGATAAACCTCTAGTTCCGGTTTCTGGGGCTGCACTCTTGTTCATAGATAGTACAAAAAGACAGCATCTGAGGTCGATACAAATCAATGTCTATGAACCAATACGCCTCCGCTTATGTTAAGCGTTATCACCATAACCAAAAAATAATTGAACAAACACAAACCGCCCAAAAGAGGTTACCATTGGTGATGAATAATTCTCTGGGCTGGGGTGCCACAAAAGTAGTACTAAATTCAAAATATCATAAAACGATGATTTTTATTGCTTCATTTTGGTTAAACAACCACCAACGTGGTTTCCGAACAACTGTCATTGTAAATGCAGCAATAGAAAAACATAAATGGACAAAAATACAAGACAAATTTAAAATAAATGAAACGTCTGGACGCATGTAGGGTCACACATGGGTTTCATACCGCAGCAAGCCGCTGCTTATTAGATTACTAATCACATTAAAAGGTATTCCTCGTGTGAATCTTGGAACCCTATGAACTTGATAATGCTAAAGAAACTCAAGTGCACTGAGATAAACCAAAGATGTTATGGCTTAAAAAGCATGCTCAATTTTGTAGCTGGGTCCTATGTGAGTCGGTATGGCAGTCCATATAGGGAAGTTCATCCAATAGATTGTTATATCTTGTGGAAATTAATGCTCCATTCACCACACAAGTAATCCTTATATGGAGTATTGCAAAAAGTGGAGGCTGTCGATGTCCTATATGCAATAATGGACATAAATATTGATGTAGAGTGCATCCAGAAAGTATTCAGAGCGCTTAACTTTTGCCACATTTTGTTATGTTACAGCCTTATTCCAAAATGGATTAAATTAATTTTTTTCCACAACATTCTACAAACAATA